CAAGCTTTCGCTCCGCCCCCCCCCCCCCCCCCCCCCAGACCAGTGCAATTGGACCAGTGTAGAGTTGGGTAAAGTTGACTCTCTCTCCCCCCTCCCAAGCGAGGAAGGAGGTGTGCAAAGCAACACCACCAACCTTGCAGGCTGCACATGCATGCAGCAATTGGCTGAAACTGCCCCCCCACCTGGTCTTTTGGGGTTTCTGTGTGGCACTGTGGCATGCTTGCACTTTCTCCACCCACCCCACATATTAAGCTATCTCAGCCTTAATTGGCCACAGCTGTTACTTCCAAAAGTAAAGGCTGACTCAAACCTTCTAAGGAGTTTACCCTCCACAGGGCCTAAGAAAAGAGGAAATCATAAAAGGCTTGAATGCTGCTGCCACATCCCAAAACCCCATACACATAACACTTAATCCTTTACAGGTGCTGCACTTGCTGTGAGTCTGATTAAACATCGAATACAAGTCTTACACTTTGTTGTCCACCCTTCTTCTTTTCTTTCCCAGGTAAAGCTTTCGAGCCTCAACTTGGATGACCATGCAAAAAAGAAGTTCATTAAACTTGTAGGGGAGAGATACTGCAAGGGCACAGATATCCTGACCATTACAACAGACAGGTATCGTAACATGAGAAAATGATCTAATGTGGGCCCTGTGTACGTAGCAACTCAAGACCTTTTCCAGTATCCGTTTCTGTCCCACTCAGCAGCTGCTAGGATGTAAAAACAATTGGGCAATGTTTGCAAAGATACTGGCTGTGACCTGGCAAACCTTGATTGGTCTTTGTTCCTCCAATGTCTGGACAAGGAATTCAAGCAGGTGACATTGACCCTAATAGGTACGGTGGGGACGGGATTGTGAAGCACCCTAAAATGCAATGTTTCATCAAATTATGCAATCTGACTTAAAAAAAACATCCTGATGAATACTGGAAAGATTATCACCTTGACTGTGTTTTTCTTGCCTCTCAGGTGCCCCTTAAGAAGGCAAAACTATGACCATGGATTATACCTTCTGACAGTGCTATTCCATGAATCGTGGGTAAGCATGAGAACTGAAAGCAAGGCTGAATAAAGTTGTGCTGTAGCTCTGATAAGAGCTGTTCTTGAAAAAGGGCAGTGTCTGTCAGAGCTCTCTCGGCCCCACCTACCTCACAGGGTGTCTGTTGTGGGGAGGGGAAGGGAAAGGAGTTTGTAAGCCGCTCTGAGACACCTTTGGGTAGTGAAGGGTAGGATATAAATCCAATCTCCTCTTCTTCTCTTTAGGGGTTTGTTTAAGCATTGCTCAAAAATCATGTCTTACATTGAAGGAGGGCAGGAAATCCACTGAACACCTGTACTGACTGGGTCAAGGCTACTGGTTTTCACAGCTGGATTCATTATTTATTTTGAAGATGTATACTTCATCTTTGAACCAAGTGATAATGCAGGTCGCTTTCGAGCAACAGTTTCAGTATGGTGCCACCATGTTGTGTCTGCCCTGACCTAGATAGCCCAGTCTAGCCCGATCCCATCAGGTTTCAGAAGCTAAGCAGGGTCAGCCCTGCTTAGTATTCAGATGGGAGACCTCCATGGGCGTCCAAGGTTACCATGTAGAGGCAGGCAATGGCAAACTACCTCTGAACATCTGTTGCCTTGAAAACCCCATGGGGTTGTCATAAGTCAGCTGGGAGTCTCCTGGTATATCCGTCAAAGAGCATTAAGCTCAGAGGATGAGAACTTACTGGTGATCCCTGGCCCGAAAAGTATCCGACAGTCCTCAACCAGAGCCAGGGTTGTTTTGGCCCTGGCACCAGCCTGGTGGAACTCTCTGCTGAATGGCATCCGTGCCCCGTGGGACCTAATGCAGTTCCACAGGGCTTGTAAGACAGAGATGTTCTGCTGGGCCTGTGGTTGAGGACAGCAACGGCTTTCCATCGGGCCTGGTTCCTTCCTTCCTTCCTTCTCCCCCCATGGGAAAGGACACTAAATTGTGTGCCTTGTGCGCTGTCTGTGAACTGTTAGTTTAATTGTCAAGGTTATTTTAATTCTTTTAATTCTTTACATTCCTTTAATTCTTTAAGTTTTAACCCGATTGTGAATGCTGTTGTTGCAAATGTTGTTCCCTGCCCTGAGTCCTGTATATGGGAGAAGACTGGCTATAAGTCGAATAAAATAGAATAATTTTTTTTAAAGTTCTTTCTGGTGGGGTGGAGATTGGCTGCAGCCTCTCAGTCTGCAGGTAATACGAAAATAAGACCTACCCAGAAAATAAGCCCTAGCAGGATTTCTATGCATTTGTGGTATAAGCCCTAGTGTGTCTTCTTGAGAAAAAATAAATATAAGACAGTGTCTTATTTTCGGGGAAACACGGTAGGTGATAATGACCCGGTGATGTGAGATGGCAACTGAAATGCTCTTCATCTTCCCCAAACACTGTAAGCAGAAAGCCTGGAATAGGTGGACACCGTCATACCTCAGACCACTTGCTAGTATCGGTCTTCACTGCTTACCATGGAAATGCTGAATCCTCCACAGTCATGAATGGGAAGCATGAAGGCTTCCAGCTGGACTTGATGGGAACAAGTAGTGCCCACTAATGTGGAGCTTGTTTTATTGTTAGAACAGTCATAGACCAGTTTAAAAATTGGATACAATACAGTAGGATACAGCAGAGTACCAAAATAGGATATAATACGAATCTGCCGTAAATATACTATTAAAATGTACATCCGGTTTATAATTGAACTAGTCCAACAATAACATGTATTAATAAAATTGTATACATATGGTCATTAATATATTGGCTCCTCAAGATCAGAAAGCAAAGCTCCTGTTTAAACTATTCTTCTGTTTAATCACCTGGGCACAGAACCTAGCTGTCACTCTAGTGATTGCTGGTATTTCATCAAGCAGTAATTTCTTCAAGGCTATCTTATCTGATATAAGCATGGACTGTTCCAGAATAGAGAGGATTGTCTTGTCCCTGACATCCTTATAAAAGGGACAATGAATAAAAATATGTTCCAATGTTTCCACTTCACCGAGGGAACATGCACATATCCTTTCAGTGTATGGGATCTTCTGATATTTCCCTTCTGTTACCTTACATGGCAATACATCGCATCTAGCAAGGGTAAAAGCTCTCCTATGAGGGGGATATTCTACATTTATTTAGTTATTGGGCCATATTTATAGTATATCTGTGTTTCTCAGAAATCATAAAATGTGTGGGGGGGGTTATTAGATCTAGCTGGCGTTCACTGTTATGGACTGATGTGGAGCTTAATCATGATTTTCTCCGTGTGGTACACAGACGTAGCTGTGGCAGGTGACAAGCATGCTAGTGTAATAGAGTGGCTAGGTGTTAGCTGGATATCTCCAGTTCAAACCATGCCTCTCCCACAAACCCACTGGGTGGTCTTAAGAAAGCCAATAGCTCTTCTTGCAGCCTCCTGTCTTCAATATTGGGGGAAGGGTGTCATATCAGTCTGCATTGGGGACCGTTGTGTTTCAGAGAAGGCCTGCTGAGTGTTGAGAACCCTGAAAAGCACCATATGAAAGCTAAATCTGCACAACACACTGTTTGTCTGTTCACTGACTTCAGTGTAACATGTTACATTGTGGTTTTAAAGAACGGGCTGTCTTGTTCATAGAGATTCTTGATCAGCTTTCATGGCACTCATGAAAGGTAAGAGGCGTGCATCTGCATTACGAGGGCCTGGAGTACTGGACCGGCAGGAGCATGTAAAAGTAAATGGAATGGCAGTATAGGGAAAGTGGGGAAGGATGGACCTCTTTCTGCCTCTTTGTCTGGAGTCCAGCCCTGTTAGCATCAAGCTGGCGTCAAGGAATACAAAACAAAGCCAAATATAAACATTGGTTAGTGCAGATAGTATCCAGTAACTTGAGCTTTTCCTCAACCTTGAGTGCAGTTTCTCAGGCACGGTTATCAGGCCTCATATTCTTTTTATTTCCTGTGTTTGTATCCTGTCCTTACTTTGAGAAGGCATACAAGGAACCGTTTTATCTGCGTTACAGTCCTGTGGTATGTGTTAGGCTAAGATAGCTGATGAACCTGGGCCCAGCTTCTTAGCAACCAGGGGTTCAAATCTTTTGGCCCAGGGCCTTCTGGCCCAAGTCCAGCACTCCTGTCAATCACATCACATTACTGTGCACCTTGTCATCTTGATTTCTTTGTCTCCCTCCCATGTCAAGAGTATTGTCAATATTGGGGTCATTGAAAGCTCTTGTCTGCCCGCATTGTTCTGACAGATAATACTTGGCACAGGCCATATGACGGGGTTGCACTGGCTTCTCCAAGTTAGTGCAGTGTAATTGACAGAGGATTTCCGTGTCCTGATCAATGCTCCCTCTAAGCTATGGAGTCCTGTGAGCAAAAATTGTACTTTGTGAGCTACTGGCATTAAAGTTGTGAGCGAGCGATTCAGCTACTGCATCAATTAGTTTGCTGTGGAGCCATCCTTCCTGAGCTAAGACAAAAAGGTGTGAGCCGGAGGCTAAAAAACTGTGAGCTAGCTTACACTAACTCAGCTTGGAGTGAACACTGGTCCTTTTTTTTTTTCTTTTTTGAGCCCCCGGAGGGGATTTTTTATTATTATTTTTTCAAACTACAAAAACTATCACAGAAAAAGGGAAGGGGGACTACATATACGGGACAAAGTATAGAAACCCACTACTGACTAAAAACCCAAGAGAGGAGATCCTCACTAGCTTCGTTACATCAAGTCTTCACTTCATTTAGATCAATATAAACTGAGTCAGACATTTAAGTACTTTTTCCTTTTCATTAACTCTTAAAACTTAACTGTCTAAGAACAGTACCCCCCAGTCATCCCCATTCACAGTTCTCAAAGGCACAATTCAGAGTCTTTCAGCCTTTACTTCTCTTTTCCTCATCTCTTCCGCAGCTTATAAGGACTTTTTGGGGCAACTGCCCCTTGCTCCGTCAGAGAGTCCTCTCCGGAAGAACCCGAGTCCAGCTCACCACTAGACTTGCTGTCCTCTTCTTTTTTTTTCGTCCTCTGGTTTTCCCAGCTGAACCCGTAGAAATTCTTGGGCTTTCAGAACAGAGTCAATATTTTCTTTTTTATCCTTAAACTTGAAAGTAATGCCTTCTGGAAATCCAATTGAGTTTGTCTGAAGGAAAAGCACAAGCTCTTTGTACTTCTTTCTCCATTGTCTTGCTTCAAATGGAATATCCTTTAGCGTTCTGATAGTATTTCCCCCCACTTTCAGTGG